ATAAGTCCCCTACTTGGTTAATACACCCACACCCAACCCCCTAAAAAATATCCCGAAAAAACCGTTCCCTGACCCGACTAAACTACAAATCAAATAATCTAAATAACACAAATACAATCTAAAATATACTAATCAACTTAGCAAGTACAGACAAAGGAAATATTAACACAGCGACACTTAGGACAAATTAATTTAAAAGAACGAAAATTGTCACCATCAAAAACATTTAAAAGTGCCCCAAAAGCTCAGAACATCAACAGCTGTACACATGGCCTCCAGCTTACTGGACATCCACATGAGCGTTCCAGCAATTTCCAAGACATCACAAGCCCCTCTCCACCGCCCAGTACCAGTTTTCATAGAAGGACAGGTGAAAGTGTGCCAGGGTGGAATTGCTTCTGAGGTGGTAAAGAGCATAATGGCAGATGCCTTGAGAAGTATGCAGACAACGTACCTTCACCAAATCCATCCCAAACTGGCTCAGGTAGATCCAGCAAAGTTAATACAGTCAATGCAAGAAATGACGTACATACAGTTAGTCTTTTGAATGAAAACAGGTAAGACCCTATTTTTGTTGCATAACAAGATATTGATTTAGGAATATTTTTTCTTCTATTTGCAGGGTTTACAATGGAGGTAGTCAAGACGAGCTGGCAACATTAGAAACTTGCACACTGCTTGATGTTTTTGAGCATGAGTTGAAAAGCAAAGAAAATTATAGAGATGCGATACTGTACCTATTTGAGATGTACCCAGCTTTAGAAGAGTATGCGAAGTGCTACCATTTACCTTTACCAGCTGACTGGCCAGGATTTTATTATCCCAAGAAACTAATCGCACAAGGAAAAGAAAAGAGAATTGCCACAATCATTCCAGAGCAGGGACAATTTCATGTTTACTTGAATGCTGTGGAAGACGTTGTTTTGATGTTAAAGTTCTTTTTTGATGAAATGTACAAAGCTGTTTTTGGTGGAATTCTTGCAAAGAAACCTAAACCCTACCGCTCCACATTATGTGTCACAGCAGCTTTTCTTGGATGGAGCCTTGTACGTGACAAAATACTGCCAAAATTTGGCTCATGCAAGTCTCATGAGTTTGTTTCAGTCCTTTATCTTCTTTACCATGTTGTGCCAATTGTGTTTTTCCAATACCAAGCATTCCGGAGTGGTGATCTAAACGACTTTGAGAACTTAATGATCCAACTGTCCATAATATTCATCTCATGGCAGCGCAGACACTATAACAAATCAACCCTCTCTTTTCTCAGTGACATGGCATATCAGGAAACATTCCATCCAGCTTACTATCAAGTGAAACAGAAATGGCTTTCTATCATCACCGAGAAAAAAGTAGAAATTTTTCACTCTTTATTGAGAAAAGACACAAGAAATTGGAGTACAGGACCAGAAATCCAAAACACTGCTAGAACAATAGGATCATCTGGATTTCTTGCATATTTCAAGGAATGGTTCGTTCCAACATATCAACGAGACACCAGTGAAGCAAACTACTGGAAAATAGCTGGGAAGACAGCAGAATATTTGTTGGAATTATTTAAGAAAATAGCTACAAACATGGACAAAGCTAGCGAAGTATATACGCGTTGTTTACAGTTTATTGTTTTTTGGCCCCATGTTCAATTCACATCCTCCACTAAATGATACACCTAACAAATTGTAAGCCTTTTGTTTTTGTTTTTTAATAGGTTCCTCGTGCAACGTCCAAAAATGGTAAACCAAAAGGGAGGCAGACATTTGAACTCCCATCTTTTGGTGCAAATGTGGATGTATGTAGCTTTCCGTTATCATATCAAAACGAACAATTTGGTCAGGTGCAGCCTGATATAGAGGCTTTATGTGACCTACCATCACGTCGTTCCTCTTCTAGAAGACCCATTAGAAGATTGGCATGTTTTCACACCTTCCACGAGGCATGTGCATCGGCAACTGGACCATGTCCCATCTGTAGGATTCCTTTGGAGAAAAAAATT